CCGGACTCGGTGCACAGCCGCACCACGGCTCGGGACCGCGCTCAGGACGACGGCGAAGAGCGCCGGGGCCGCGGCGAACATCCCTTGCCGCTGCTGCTCCACCGCCTCGTTGGCGCGCGGCGTCAGGCTCATGGGGACCTGCTGGCCGCAGAAGATCATGTCCGTGAAGGCGTGCTCCCCGGCGTGGTGGTCCGCCGCGCCTTTTAACAGGCACTCCGCGCAGAAGTCCCAGTCCCGGCAGTCGTTGCAGCGGTACCAGTCCCCGGGCAGGCAGGCCCGCTTGCAGATATTGCAGGTGTGGGAGCCGACTTTCGCCGATTGGTAGCTCTGGCGGGTCGCGATTTTGATGTCCTCGCGTTGGTAGACGCGGTAGCGAAGGTCCTCGGAGTTGATCGGGGCGGGGGCGGGCGGGGCGTCCTCGGGAAGCCCCTCGCCGTTCTCGGGGTCCGATTCCAGCAGCGCCTCCTCCTCCTCCTCCTTGGATATTCGCCCGATATCGTCAAAGCCCTCGCTGTAGAAGCGGGTGGAGACCATCTGGGAGGCAAAGCGACTCCGCATCTCCAAATACACCAGCTCGTTGAGGTGGGAGAGGTACTCGACCCGGCAGGGCACCAAACACGCCGCCAGGATCTCGCAAATATCCCGCGTTTGGTTAAACCCAAGGCGGAAATGTGGGGGTAGTTTGCTCCCCGCCCTTTGCCCCTCGCCCGCGAGCGAACGCGGCGTCGAGGTGGGGCCCTCGGCCTCCGTCGAGGGGCCGACGCCCATGCCCGATTCGTCGTTCCCCCAGCCCGCCTCGTGGGCCATCGCGGAGACCGGCAGCGTCGTCAACACCACCAACAAATTCACGAGCTGCTGGAAAAGGCCATTTTCGATCACGAGGCGGGTCACCTCGGGGGAATACGTCGTCGCCGCGAGAATCAGCGAAAGGGCAGTGGAAAAGGCCGCGTCGACGTGGCTGGGCTTCATCAAAATCACCAGCAGCGGCGCCGCGAGGTCGCTGAAAATCTCCATCACCATATCCGCCCGCTCGGAAACGCCGAGAACCGCGCGAAAGAGGGTCATCATCGCCTTGGCGCGGATCTGCGGGTCGTTGTGGAGGATGCCCGCCTGCAGGGTCGGCAAAACTTCGCCCACAAAGGCGTAGTTGCTCACGGAAAGGAAGCGCGACATGCGTGAGATCGCGTTCCAGATCTTACGCTGCGAGGAAATGGTGAAAAAGTCGATAAAGGAAAGCATATCGCGAATGCCATTGTTGCGAAAAACCGCGGCGGCGCCGGAGGAGACCTGGCAAAGCTTTTCAATACACGTTAAGCACTGATCCGAAAGCTCCATATCTTGGATTTGGCGGAGATTTTCGAGCAGGATATTCACGTTCTCGTCCGTGCTTAGAATGCCTAAGGTTTGCGGGATGGAGTCCGCCATGTAGGTGAGCGCGCGGGCGGCAAGCAGCACCAGCTCCGGGTTGTGCGTCTTTTGCATGCATTTGAGCACGAGCGGGACGATCTCGTTTGTATCGAAAAAAGTAAGCGAGAAGGTCGTGGACATATTCAGCTGATTGCAAAGGCCCTGGAGGGCGTTCATTTGTTTATAATCATCCGCGCTGGAGAGCTCCTGCTGGAGCTGGGATAGCGCGCCGGTGTTGTGCCGAGAAGACAGCGTTTGCTCGACCAGGTGCGAGAGAAACAAATCCATTATGCGTCTCGGCCTTTCCCGTAAATAAGAATCTTGGTACAACTCCTTGTTCTTCCTTGTATATCAAAGATCAAAGTGCGCCTAAGAGGACTAGTGACTGATACCAAGCGCAAATTTCTAGGTCTAAGTCGAAGTAAATATATTATTAGTAGATTTACGGGGGATTGATAGGCGAACAAAAATCCCCCTCTGGACAAAATTCAATAATAATTTTGTATAAATAATGGAGCTAAGATATATTATTCGAAACAAAAAGTGTGAACCTGGAGTGGTAAAGAGAAAAATGACATTTAAGGTTAAAAGAAAGACGAATCTGAAATGCTGATGAGTGAAAAGCTCAAATGCAGTAGCAGAAGGTGCATCTAAAGAATCCCACCAGTAGATTGATATCCACTAAGACACTACCAATAAGAAGTTAATGGAAAAGCCACTAATAAGATAAGAAATCTTACAGTCAAAAATTCCGATCACTTCTCAGAATAGCTGCTATAAAACTTGAACCTGTCTTAGGATGTCTGTCGTCAAAGCAAAGGCTGTCAAGGGAGAATATCCAAATTAATAATCCTACTCAATCTAATAAGGAGCTCATTAACTACCAGACAAGCATCCTCCTAAGTTCATAAACGTTCCTCTAATTCTACTTCTTTTTTTTTCTATTTCTTTGAACCAGCCTAAGAAAAATATCAATAGACGATCATTGTGGAAGAAATCAGTCTATGGTTTGTGTGGCCACAACGTCTTCTCGCCCAGATTCAACCTATGAGTATCTATCGCAATGGAGGCCTGGCTATCAATAATGCATCTTACTTCGCGGGGGCTGCTTCTTTCCTTTGAGCCTCCTCCTCCTCCTGAGCCGCCTTCAGCGCCTGCTCACGACGGATCCGGCGCATAATCTGGTAATGGTAATGCTTATCGAAGCCCTTGGCCTTGGCCTTGGCGTACTCCTCTCGCCCTCGCGCCTCCCCCCCTACACCCCAGGCCGGCTTTAAAAACCCCGCGGCGTCGTCCCCGCGAAGCCAGGTTTGCTTAGGCCAGTTGAAGATAAACGGGCCGTAGACGTACCACTTCCAGTAGCTCACCTCCTTGTCCTGCCGGGCGAGGTTGCGGCGGTACATGTATCTTGAGCGGTCGTACGGCTCGGCGCTCCAGTCCAACCAGGCAAAGAAGGCCTTGCCGGCCTCGCTCGTCGGGCGGTCGAGAAATCGCTTCAAATAGATTTCATGGTCAAACATCTGCTGAAAAACGGACATAAAGGTGTCGTCGTATTTGATGTCCTCATAGCGCGCTAGGCCGCCACGGCTGTAGTAGGAATAGACCTCCATCATCGTGGGCGGGATCAGGTACAGGACGTACATTATCGCGAAAGGAATCCACGCCACATCAAGCCCAGCCATGATTGGAGGGTTACGTTTGGATCGAGACCACGATACTAATCAATTAATAAATAAATGGATATGGATAGGATATTGGTCAGTGAAGAACCAGAATGAGGAAAATCACACCGCTAACGAGAAAAAATAGAGCAAAAAATATAATAAGAAGGACAAGGAGTTTTTTACTGCCCTAGAACCTTCGGCTAAGAAAGAAAAAAAAATACTTACGCTACAGTAACTTTTAACTTGTTAGGTACTCAATCGCTAAAACTATAGAGAGAAATAAGTGAAAAAAAGATAACGAATTCTAGGACAACCTCCCTTTCTATATCCTCCCCCCCCAAATAATGGAAACATTAAATCTCTATTCAATGACCACAAACAAAACTTGAGGTTTACAATAAAAATCCATGTATCAAAAATCCAAAGTTACACTATATGGTCTCTTTTTTTTGAATACAAATAGGATTACCTTTCCTTTTTATTATTAATGCGGTTCAAACATGCGGGTCCTTTTTCTCCTTTTCTTTCGGCATGAGGTTTAGACTTCCTGGCTAACTATTTCAACTATCGCGCTTCCACGAATCACGGCAGTTCCCATGGATAGCCGATCCTCATCAGGCTGAGTGTCGATTGATGGGTTGCGGGTCTCGTCGGTGCTATCATACAATACAATACTCATGAACTTATCTACTCCCCGCAGGATGCCGGATACCGCACGACCGCCCTGCAGCTTCACTAAAACTCGCTTCTCCATGAAGTGGGTTAAATTGGGGAGCCCGGTCTTTGCTGGCATAGTTGTTACTGTTATATTTTAAGATGGCTTGCTTTTTATTATTCTAAATGTTTTTTTTTTTATGAACAGTAGTGGGAAAGTAAAGCACTCCTCCACGAACACGCTAAGGAATGAAACTAAAAGGGACTGAAGATAGCTAAATAATGGTAAAAGAAGATAAAAAGTCAGAATTCATTTGATTACAAATATTTTCATGATACGATTTCGTCAAGTAAAGAAATAACGCCATAAACGTTTTGTAAGGAATTAGAATACAAAATTTGAAATGTTTAACGTTCTTTTCTTTGAACTGATAGGTACATCACGTCCATCAAAGAGGGAAAAAATTACATCTAACATGATTTAGGATACATTTTATAAGTACCGCTCCTCCAGATGCGGTATAAATGACAAAACAACAATACCACCTATTGTCTACCGTAGAGATCTGAAAAGAAGAGTTTTAAAAAAGGTAGAGATTAGTCACTCAAGTGAAAGATAACAGATGTAATAAATTCATTGGTTTGCCTTTTTAGTTCCCTTGGGTCCGAACTTCCCTGTTTTCC